CCCAGGAACATGCTTCCTCCCAGCATTACAACAGAAATAATTTTTACACAGCTTATAAATGTGCTTTTCAAAGTAAAATGTTTGGATATTCGAGTACAGTTTAATTCTTATTAATGAGACACTTTCTGCTACAACAGATTTTTAAGTAATAAAAACATATGCAGATTACCAGCTACCGTGGGTGTTTTTTTAAAACTTTACAGGTTGTAGAATTCTATAGAATTCACTATATAATATATGCCACCCACTAAAATGTAAGTTCAGATCTCCAGCAGCATTTGAAACACTCTCTATCAGAGTGGATCAGTAAATTCAGTGGCAACTGAATTTAAATATCTGGATCCGAGTTCAAATAGTTTCTGACATTCTGGAAGTCACCCACAGAGAGAGTGAAATTCAAGCCCTTCGGAGTCATTTGGGAGTAGTAAGCAAGGCTGAGCATCTTCTGCCAACACAGATATGGAGCCTTCCTATGGATGAGAAAAAGGCTGCAGCAGTTTTACCTCTCCCTCGACATAAAAAAAATCTCCAAGCAAACAACTTGACAAACCTTAGCTTAGACTTCAGGCGACTTGGATTTGTCAGGAGGTGTGAGCACTTGAATTTGGGGAGGCTTTTCAGGAGATCTGCTCCTGTTTGTGCAGTAAGTGTTTAGAAGTTAACGGGTTGGGCACTTGTTTTTTAGAAAAGAAGTGGAGTGCATAGATTCTCTTTTTATCCTCCCTCTAATCAAGAGGGCCTTATTCTTTGACACCACAGAGGGTGTTGCAGGCCAGCAGCCCAATTAATACCATTCTCTAAGGAATGAATGGACTTTGGGCTGAAAGTTGCACTCTTGGGCCTGCTAGGGAGTGTGTAGAATGTTACCAGAAGTTAAAATTTACCCTTCATAAAATGCACAGACTACTTTTGTTAGCTTAATCATCCATTTTACCTCCTTGCACCCTCTTCCTCGTCTCCATTGACTTTCACAAGCTCTAAACCTAGTCTAAATTCCTAGAAGATTAGACTATAATAATAAAAAATCTGGGACACTGAGGTCGTTTTCTGTTTGTTGTCCCTTAAGAACCTACATTTAGCAGCTTCAACATGCCTGCATGTGCATGAGTTAATGAAATTCTTATTTTCTTTCTACAAGAGGGTATAACACTGACACCTGACTGTCTGGAAGACTGTCGTCTTACATGCTACTGGGGCTGCAGTGTTCAGAAACTCCACGAAGCATTGCAGAAACATGTCTACTGCTTCAGAATAAAGACTCCTCAGGCACTAGAGGATGCTCTGTACAGTGAATACCTCTACCGACAACAGTACTTGTATCCTTTTTTTAAATTGTTTTTTAAATTGTTTTGACAAAATATACTACTTTATTGGCACAGGGAGTGTTGAGACTTGTGAACATTTCTCAGTTCTTGGCACAATATATTTATGAACAAATATGATGACAAATATTCTTTATGCAAACGTCACATTTGTCTACAATTGCAGCAAAACTGGTTGTTTTACTTGACACATGCGAAGCATTAAAAAAAATGACAAGGAAGAAAAATATTGTCAGTTACCAGAAGATGCTCAAGTTGTCGACTTTGGCCCGGTGCCTAGATCTCGCTATCCGTTGGTAGCATTGTTGACGTTAGCTGATGAAGAAGACAGAGAAATATATGATATTGTAAGTAATATAAAAATATATTTTAGATCTGAATGTTTCAGGAGGCTGGCTTGAATAAAACAACTTCCTTTCCGTGTCCCCTAGAATTTGGTCCCTAGCTTTGTCACTGATGACTCCAGGGGAGTGTGGCAGAAGAGCAAGGATAATTATTATATAAAACTTGTGTATGCCATTCAGAAGATGCTTATGATTTTCACAAAGCTCATAACCTCCAGAGGTCTCTGTGGTCAGATGAACAAGGGTTCTGATAGGTTAGTAAGCTATTACTCTGATTTTTCTGGTCATGTAAACCTGTGGTGGAGCTCTTGTGCTGGTACAATCTTTTGGATTGCTGTTGGCAAGGTGGGAGGATTGCGTGTGTGTGTGTGTGTATCTGGCACAGATATTTCAGCTGATTACTGGCTGGACTGTTAGGAACATAGAAATTACCTTTCTACTACAGGCCTGATTCAATGTAATGCAGTGCATTACGTCTCACAGTAGGCAGCTCCAGATTAGTTACAGGAAGATGTGACAGTCTTGCAGTAGGCTGATATGAAACATTCAGCTCCCCAAAAAGGTCTTCTGACCTCTTACAGCTGAAGCAGCTTCACCTTGGCACGTGCAGTTCAGTATCCCTTCTAAACCCTAAACTGACTGATTCTTTTCAGAAGTGTTTGGGACACTCTTCAATCTCCCATCTTTTCATTTGGTTGATAACCTGATAGCACTAACTGCCTGAACAATAATACAAATGAACTTGATATTGAATTGCCTAAATCCACTGAACACTTTTCCAAACATTCATTTGGAAATTGTTTGTGATCACACCAGTGCCCAAGAAAACTGTTCCCTTTCCAAGTAGTGCCTGTCCTTGGCTTCTTGTCAACCTTAGAACTGCCTTCCTCCCCTCTGCCCCCACTCAAGGTTTCCTCCCGGTTCCCCCAGGCTGTTTCCCACATTAGTTCATCTATATGTGTTTAAATTAGTTTAATATAAAGAGACTATGAATTTCCAATTTGACTATGTTTGACGTTAGCATGGACATGATTTATAACGCCTCTCTTTTGCTCCTTAACATAGAAGACAGGGATAGAAGGAGAGTGGGGCAAGTATTTTTCCTATTTTTTGGAGAAAAGGAACACGACTAGAATCTTAATATTGTCAAAACAGTAACTCCACCTGAACTCGTTGCCAGACAAATGTCAAAATTGCGTATGTTGTTGTTGAAACGAACTTGTACAATATAAATATAGTGTGGAAAAGGATCTTTGCCACTGTGGCCAGTATAGTATTACCACATTATTCTCGCATCAGTGCGTCAGGCTCCACCTTGAATTACTTTTTTTGCGTGTGTGCATCCATCACTACAGATGATGTTCCAGTATCTCTTTTCTGGGAGGTCCGATTTGTGTCCTAACTCTGTTTGTGACCAGATCATACATACTTGAGGTTTTTTACTGTGATTTTTCTCTAGCTTCAGAAAATTAGCATAAGTGTTGGAGAAGTTGTAAGACAACGGGCAGGGCTAAGGTGGAAGAAGGATGAGATCTCAGGCCTGTGTATAAAGGAGAAGATTGAGTAACCTGATTAAGGTGTACGAGTATTAACAAAGAAAGGAAATACTTGGTGCTCAAGGGCATAAGGTTCTATAATCAAACAGCACAGCATTTCTGCTAGATCACAGTATCGATGTATGTGTTCCTGTACTACAGAACAGCATAACAGAGGAGACAACAGCTTGAAGATGGAGGTGCTTGCATTAGGAACTGCCTGGGTGTCTGAAGAAACTGTGAATTGAGGTCATGCGTTGTCGCTGAGAAAGCACTTGGGGTGGGGTATCGTACTGCAAATGCACTGAGAACTTCTAGCTTTTAAACTCTTCTTATCGAAACACAAAATTTGTCATTGTAATGGAGTTTTAATGCCTTTCAGGTTCCAAAACAAAGCTAATAGAGGTGTGCAGCATTTGGGTGTTGTTTAGTTTGGGGTTTTTTTGTTGATTTGGGTTGGGTTTTTTAGTGAGGCATTGTGATTTAGAAAAGAAGACTTTATTGCCAAAGAATAGTAAATTCAGTTAGGATAAATACATATGTATGGGTACATATATATTTAAACTCTGCGTGTAATTAGCCATGTGTGGATTTTGAAGTGAAAGTCTGATTTGCTTTTAAATTATTTTTTTTAAAAAAAACCAGCTTTCTTCTGTATTTCATTTCCCTTTTGACAGTTTCTGGGAACTACAATAATATTGAATTTCACTTTTTTTCCTGCTTTTTGGAGACTATTACGTAATTTGGGCAGGATGAGGCATATTGGGCACAGCATGCAAGCTTAGAGTGATTTTATATTCAGAAAAACAACTCTGAAGTCACCCTGCGGGGTCCCTTCATAATCCTTTCCAGCGAAATTTGTCTTGCCTACTCGATTTACAAGCCAATCGGCGACGCTTCTAAATGCTTTTCAGAGTCTTTAGAACTACAGTCTGCATGTGCGTGAAGGGAGTGGGAGAAGGTAGAGAAGACTTTGCCTTTTACATGTTCCCTGTAATTCTGCGCTCGGATTTCAGCTGACGGAACCGTTTCTCGCGTTGAAGACAGCCTGGACAGATGTTTCTGGGGACTGCAGCGCGTGCCCTTTCTTGGGGCTTGGTTGCTGTAGGAAAGTCCTTGCAGTTTGTCAACTCCTCTCCAAACCTAGGAGGAGTTCACTGTGAGTTAGTGGAGCAGAGGAGTGCTACTTCTGGCTGAAGTTGTGAGGCAGGAAGCCTTTCCGAGGTACATCTGTGCCTGTGTCAGCGAGCCTTTCCTTGGCTATGTGAGCACAAACCTTGAGGAGGACTGCACGGGCTTGGGTGCCTTTTCAGGTTGGGATCTGATCCCCCTAGGTGAATCATAGAATGGTTAAGGTCGGAGAAGACCTTGAACATCATCTTTTTCCAACCCCCTGGCTGTGGGCAGGGACACCTCTCTCCCACTAGACCAGGCTGCTCAAAGCCCCGTCCAACCTGGCCTTGAACACTTCCAGGGATGGGGCATCCACAGCCTCCTTGGGCAACCTGTGCCAGTGCTTCACCGTTCTCACAGCAAAGAATTTCTTCCTTCTATCTAATCTAAATCTACCCTCTTGCAGTTTCAGGCCATTGTCCCTTGTCCTATCACTACAGGTCCCTGTATAAAGCCCTTCTCCAGCTTTTGTGTAGCCCCTTTCATGTATTGGAAGGCTACTGTTGGGTCACCCCGGAGCCTTCTCTTCTCTAAGCTGAATAACACCAGCTCCCTCAGCCTGTCCTCAGAGCAGAGGTGCTCCAGCCCTCTAGTCATCTACATCTCCCTGGTGAGAGCAGTCAGAGCAGGTCTCTGCTGTAAACTCTCTCTAGAAAGACTCCAGGGAGAACCACAGCAGAAAGTTGAAGTACCACAAAGTGTTGTCTTTTGTTTTCGCCTTGTCCAGCCTGTTTTATTTTTTTTGATCTGTGCTTGGAGTCAACATTGTTGAAGCCCTGATTGCCTAAGGAAATAAGTAAGTCAGAGTGACAAAGTATGCAGTCTTTCAAACAAACTGTTCTATATGAATCATGTAACGAAAAGGAAAATTATTAAACATAGCTCTTTTTTTGGCCTTTTTTTTTTTTGGTAGATTTCAATGGTGGCTGTAATTCACATTCCTGATGAGAGCTACAGACTTCCCTGCAGAGTATTATATCAGTATCTACTTCTAGCCCAAGGTCAATACCATGATCTGAAGGTAAGCCATGTAATGAGTCTTGTTTCATTTTGACTACAGGGTTAAAGTTTAATTTGTGTAGGCTTTCAGGAGCCAAAATTAGTGTAAGACTTACTGTCATGGGAAGAACTGAATAATAGTTAAAATTATTTTATCAGTTCAGTAGTTCCAGTCAAAGTTACTGTACAGAAATATTTCACATGAAAATATCAAAGATTTCCTGGAGAAATTACTTGATGCTAGTGCAGAGGCTTAGGTCCTGTCCACCTAGTAAGACGTTAACGAGCTGTCGAATGCTTCCTTTCTGCAGAGCATTTGTTACCTCCTTGCTCCTATCTCAAATCAGCACTTTCTCCTTCAGTTGGGAAAGCCTCAGGAGAAATTTTTCTTTTGAATTTCTTTTCATACTGCAGTACACACGCGAAAGTTAGGAATCTGCCCAGCACATACCATTATAAATTAAAAAAATGTTCTCATTATTCTTGTGCAGTTTCCCTGATTTGTGCATGTTGTGGGACCATCCTTGTCCTGTGTCTGTCATACAGCTGATGATATGATTATATGTGATTCTGTGCTTTTATATTACTGTGATAATAAAAATAACTTAGGGTATTGATAAGTTAGAAATTGGGCCAAACTAGTTCGATTGACGCAATTAATGTCCATTCAGAAATAGTTTTACGCCAAAAAACGTTTGCCCTGGCCATTTTTTGCTGACTTAGTTGATCCAGGTAAACTTTCCTGTTGATCTCCCTTAAGCTTTCTTCTCTTGTACGGTTGTCATTGTAAAAACACTGCTTAAGCCACATAGAAATAACTGTGCAGCTGCATTTTGTTGTGTTTTTAGTTTTATGGTGTGCTCTCTGTGGGCATCTTTGGCTGCTTTTTACTGGCTTTGTTAAGAGATCATGTGCAGAAGAATTTGTGCTTCATAGGAAATAAGACAAAGGGAGTAGGAAATTGCGATATGAGCAAGAGTGGAATGGGTCAAGTGAAGTAGATTGGACAGCTTGATGCACATATTTTTGGTAGAAATGGGTAAGAAGCATCCCTCTAGGCGTAAAGAATGACATACCGGAAACTGAAACCTGAGCTACTCAAAACTTGGGCGGTTCTGTTACCGTTCTTGCATGTACATTGATTCGCTTCAGCTAAGATTCAATGACTTATCCTTAATATTCTCCTGGTGTTTTATGTAATTTTTATGCTTCTGCAATACCTTTAGCTGAAGGCCGGGTGACTATCAGGACTCACACAGAGAGTCTAGCAATATTTGCACAGTGGAAACCAGTGAATCTGACCCAGTGGAATCTGCATCACATGCGTGTGTTCGGATATCGGGGCAGAGTTCTACTCCTAAATGCTTGTGTCTGTCTATTTTAGCAACTCTTCATGTCTGCAAATAGTACTGCGCCGTATTCGAGCGATACATTCCCTGGTGAGAAAAGCACCAACAGAAGCTTGCTAGAGAAGGCCGGACTGGCTGAAGATGAACCAGAATTGCACGAGGAAAACAGTAAAGACTGTGTCGTCTGCCAGAACGGCACGGTGAACTGGGTGCTCCTGCCCTGCAGGCACACGTGCTTGTGTGATGGCTGCATTAAGTATTTTCAGCAGTGTCCAATGTGTAGGCAGTTTGTTCAAGAATCTTTTCCACTTTGTAATAAAAAGGAGCAAGATGAAGATGAATCAGCCCATATCTCGCAAGATGTTCTTCCTGAAAGAGTTTCTTAATGGGGGGAAAAGAAACCCAGAAGAACTGGGTTGTATGTACCAAGACAAAATGTAGAAAACAGACTGTTTATGGGAGGATATGTAGCATTAACTTGGATGGTTTTGCTCTTTATTGTTAGGTAATTTTTAGCTTCCTTGTTTTTCTTCACTCCATATGCTCACAGGAACGCTACACTTATCCATGCAGTGTGGACAGAAGAAGTGCGTAGGATTATCTTTGAAGGATGTAACTTTATTTATAACTTCTTACTAGTTTTTTTCATGCAGTACTATTGGAGGCTATTTTGATGACTAAAATTAGAGTATCTACTAAAAAAAGAATAAAACTTGCAAGTGAAGTTGCACACAGCTCACTCTATCGTATTTAAAATACTAGAGCGATATACCATTTTAACTCAGTATGATTTGGAAACATAGCACTTTACAGAACGTATCATACGAAGGAAAATAAATATTCTTTATTGTTAAACCTGTGTATATTTATTTCGTAGATGAAGGCTGGACTGTGGCAAGAGCTGGGACTTGAAGGCATGATTCAGGGTGCTGTTTCTAGCTGTTTTGAAAATTGGTGTGTGTGTGTGAGGGACCTTAGCCAAAACCCGTTGGAGTGAGTGGAAAGATTTTTGTCGATTATTGTTGGCATGAACTAAACATAGCAGAGGCTCAGGCTTAAAGGTGTCAGCTATGTCATCTCAAGACACAGACTCTCAATCGCGTTAGCAATGGCTGTAAGAACTTGTTCTCCATGCAAATGTTAGTTCATTACTCCATGGAGTAGTTACTGGGGCAGTTTTGTGTTGCTTTTCTTATATACGAGTAGCCTGCTTTGGGGGAGTTTCCAACTCTTTGTACTTGCATTGTCAGCCTGGATGCAAAGTTAACCATTTACCTTTTATCAATAGTCCCAGGTATTTACTTACTTTAGTAAAAAAAGAAGCTGAATAATAGCAGAAAATAATTTCTTTTTCCCTCCAATGGTGTATTCTCAAAAGGAATAAAACCGGCTGTTAAGAACAGAAAGCGTCGTTTCGCTTCTTGAGACATGCATTCTCCAAAAGACAGATGGGCTGGGTTTCACGTCTGCTCGTATAAGACAAAAAAACAAATGCTCTTTAGAACCTGTAGAAAATGGGGAGTAGCTGCTTTCTATCTTCCCTCTTGTTTCCTTGCAGCTTTACTCCACATTTAATTCCAAGCCAGCAGCTCAGCCTCAGGGAGAGAAAGATAAGCTCCAAGGTATTCAGCTGCACTCTCCTGCCAGTACAAGTTACACACAAGGTGCTCCACACCTCCAAAACAGGGAAGGAAGCTTCCTCTACTCAAAGGTATTCCGTCTTCATCTTTCTATCTTTTTGGTTGGTTAGTTTGTTTTGCCATGATCCCTCCTTCCTAACTCCTGGCAATTGCCTCTGAGGAGAAGATTTAGTGGTACAGACAGATAGCAGTTGGGAATTCTTACAGGTTTGCAGCCAGTGGTCAGCAAGCTGTTTGCACAGCAGTTTATCTGGTGTACATAAAGTGACCTTCCTTGCCAGGGACAGCTTAGGAATAAACTGCTGGCCAAATCAGCCTTTCATTTGCGTTGTATATCAAACAGGAATTAAATATCTAGGTGTCTGTGGGGACGGATCTGTGCTTGCAGAGGACTTCGGAAGACAGATGGTTCTGTGTGGAAATCGTCACGGCAAGGAGTGGTGTAAATGCTACAATTCAGGAGGCTGAGAGCTGCAAGAGGAGAGCAGAGAATAATGGAATAGCAGAGGGATTGAGCGTTGGCAGCAGCAACATATATATCGTATAAGAATATGGTGCAGATGTGGAGCAGCAACAGTGTGATGCAACTGAAGCAGACCTAGAGCTGCCTGTATTAAGAGTATAAAGACTATAAATATCATTTGGTGTCTTCACTACTCAAGATGAATCACAGGGGCGTGATGAGGACTTGTCCTCTCTGCCACTACGGACAGTCCTTACTGGATCACTTGGACCCATGAGTCCTGATGCTGGTGAGAATGTGGACATGCAAGAACGAACATGAAAGAATGGGTGGGTGAAACCATTCTTAAAAATCACCTTCCCTTTCTGCGCGGTCTCACGCTGAGTTTTGCTAGCTTGGTTGCAGCACACCCAAGGTGGTTACTGAGTAACTACTGTAGTTACAAGGTAGTTACTGAGCTCAGTCTCCCTATCTGCCTGGCTCGCTTGTTCTGCCATGGAAGGGGAGCAGCTAATATGGGTGATAATGGAGATAATTACTCTTCAGGATTCCCTTCGCAGCCATGTGTCACTGCTGTGAAATGGAAAGCTGGTGTAAACAGACCTAGGCCACCGTGGGCTCTCAGAAGAGTTGATATAAGGACCAAAGACCCTGAGCCATGACAGTAGCTGTTTCCATACAAACAGCTCATCTTACCAGCACGTGGGACTGGCTGTTCAGCTTGTTGATCCAGAGAAGCGCGTTAATCTAACTTGGAGTTGGACACTGCCTGATAGTTGGTGGGAACTTGCTTTATCCCCATAGATTATCAAAGAGGTGTTGTTTACCGCTTGACCCCCGTTAGTCCCTGACATTAAATCAATTAATTAAAATTTCCCGATAAGGCAGTGCGATCCAAGCTTCTGGGCTTGTTTAATCTCAGAGTGAAATCATATTCAAGGAAACCCCACAGAGAATTGCCTGGTCTGTCTCATCCTTTAAGCAATCGATGCCAGTATTAAATAATAATAATGGCAAACAGGATGTAGCTGTGCTGAACTGCCAGGCCATGCATTTACCATTATCTCTGTCCCAGCTTTTCATTTGTTTCATGCTATTTTAATAGCATTTTCCAGAGATGCTTGGTTGTTTTATCAGATCTAACAAGCTTCCTTTCTTGCTGGCCCAAATCGAAGGCCTGACAAAAAGGTACAGTAGCTGGCTTATTATGTTTGTCCTTCTAAGAAGCCATCTTAAAATATAGATCAGGTGAGAAGTAAAAGGAGTGGCTCTAAAGTTGCCTTGTGTGTCCCGTGGTTGTCTTAAAACAGGGATTCAAGACTCTAAGGGAGAAATAAAACCTTCCTGTGACCCAAAAAACCACAGTATATTGACAGAGGCTGTTCTGCTCTGTCACCCTGTTGTAACAGAGGTAATATAACATTCCTCTTCCACTCATTGTAAATGATTTGGAGACATCAAGGAACATACGTAGACTTCTGGCAATAAGATTTGGTTCTATTCATCAGCATCGGGGTATTACAAATTTGCAATGATTTTTGCTGCAGGAGAGAGGTGAGAGGTACCTCATTGGCTGGTTTGTTTCATGAGCTGTAATCAGAGCTGAGACTTCAAAATTAGCTCATCAAACTAAGTGGTGTTTTTTAAGGATGTCCCAAGATGCGTTTCCAAATGCCAATGGACTGTGATGTGAACGTCTTCCCTCTGTAAAAAAAAGTTGCTTTTCCTTGCTACCTGCCTTCTCCAAGTAGGGCACAAATGGTAGGAGGGAGACAATTCAGGTCAATTCATCTTAAAATGGTCTTCCCGTTCCCATGAGGAATTCGGAATTCCAATGAGACGCTCTGAAAACTGGCTAATGGCCTGACCTCTTCTTGAAGGCTAACTCCTGCTGTGTTCCACTACAGAGCCTGCGAAATCTCACTGCCACCGCTGAGGATGACCATTGACCATCAGAGCACCGAGGCTGCCTGCTGAGCTAGCAGTGGCCAGCATTGCCAACCTGGCACGATGCTGTTCACCGTCAGGGAATAAGGGAAGGGGTGGGGGGTGTTCAGCATCTCATGTTTTGGTGGGGCTGAGCAGTCGAGAACCCATGTACATGTTTTGTTCAGCTTGAAGACAAGCTTCTGGGTGAATCTAGTTAAAATGATTCATTTATTTGCTCACATCAAACTTTATATCACAGTAAAAGGAACCAGGAATCATGGTCTGGGTTTCTCCTACTAATCTGTGCATTGCTCAATCCCCCGGTGCCCTGATGAAGCTCTGCAAGGTGAAGGAGGTCTGGGGCTGACCTGTGTAACTGGGAAGTCTCTGCAGTAACCAGCCACCAGTCACCATTTGCGCACTTGTCTTGATACTCAGAACAAACAAGGACTGGGCTCTGTCACTGCAGTGGATGTGCAGCCCCTGCAAAAGCTGTCCCTGGTGTTTTCTGTGTTTATAGCTAATGTAATTAATGCCAGGAATAGCTGAATTTTATTTGATACAGCAGAAGTCCTCCTCTGGGCTAAGCTGTTAGAAAGGCTTGGTGTTGTCTTGTTGGAATATGCTGGGTGGGGAGGGCAGAAAGAAAACCAGGATTAGGGTTATGGTTTTGGATAACTTCAGTGTTAGTACTGGTTTAACGTTGCTTTGATGGCACAGTGGCTTCGTAATGTAAACGCATACCTGAGCACAGCTCTCTGGCCACAGCCGAGTGTTAGAGAGTCACATGCTTTGCAGGGTCCCCCAAAAGGAGCCAGATCCCACTCCCTGCCTTGCCACCACTCTCCAGAGCAATTCTAGACCAGGTAGTGACAACTGAGGGGCTCAGAAAGTCTCTGCTAAACAGCGCATACTCACTCAGGCGGCTCTACACGTTGCTTCTGTATTGATTTTACTCCCCCGTGTCCATAAGTGATGTGGGTGAAGAGGTACAAGCCTATAGTACAGCGATGGTTATACCTGTAAAAAAGGGCTTCTACTGGATCAGTTCCATAAATTTGTAGGAATGTGCAACACCTACATAAAGTACCTTTGTCTGGATGCTGCTGCATCTGAGCTAGGAGAGTCCTCGGTCTAGTTACATGTCTCATAAGGGAAATTATTTAAACCAGTAAAAATACTATAAGTAAATGTAGTCTTGTAGACTAGATGAAATCTTCAACAGAGGCTCATGTCGAAAGTGAGGACTCTGTTTCTCCTACCGTATTTTGGAAAGCAACAACAGATTTATAAATTCATGCTGAAGTCACTGAGCCTTCATCAGGGTCGAGAGAAACCCAAAAAACTCCTTTTA